CCCCGCCATGTGAGGTGTGAGATGTCAGTCTGCACCTAGTGGGTGTTGTCTCCCAGTTAGGCTACTCAGGGGCCAGGGACCCACTTGAGCAGGCAGTCTGTCCATTCTCAGATCTCAACCTCTGTCCTGGGAGATCCACTGCTCTCTTCAAAGCTATCAGACAGGAGAATTTACCTCTGCCAAGGTTTCTGCTGCTTTTTGTTTAGCTATGTCCTGTCCCAAGAGGAGGAACAAACAGAAGCAGGCTGGCTTCCTTGAGCTGCAGTGGGCTCCACCCAATTTGAGCTTCCTGGTGGCTTTGTTTACCCACTTAAGCCTCAGCAATGGCGGGCACCCCTCCCCCAGCCTTGCTGCCGCCTTGCAATTAGATCTCAGACTGCCGTGCTAACAATGAGGGAGGCTCCGCGGGCATGGGACCCTCTGGGTCAGGTGTGGGATATAATCTCCTAGTGTGCCATTTGCTAAGACCCTTAGTAAAGTGCGGTATTAGGGTGGGAGTTACCCGATTTTCCAGGAGTTGTCTGTCTCAGTTTCCCTTGGCTAGGAAAAGGGATTCCCTTCCCCCTTCCGCTTCCCAGGTGAGGCGATGCCTTGCCCTGCTTCAACTCTGGCTGGTCAGGCTGCACCAGCTGACCAGCACCGACTGTCCGGCACTCCCCAGTGAGATGAACCCAGTACCTCAGTTGAAAATGCAGAAATCATCCATCTTCTGTGTCACTCATACTGGGAGTTGGCAGCTGGAGCTGTTCCTATTAGGCCATCTTGGGTGCACCACAGGGCTAAATTTTTTATTATTAGCAAATGTCCATCTTTAGTTCTGTTAATATTTATTGTGCTGAAGTCCACTTGTCTCATGTTAGTATAGTCATTCTGCCTTTCTAATAGTTAGAGTTTTGTGCTTTTTTTCTAGAACATTGCTGTTATCTGAGACTTAAGATTTATAGTGGGTCTTTTGCAGAAAATATATAATTGCTTTGTTTATACAAATCAGACAATATCTTTTTATTGAAGTGTAAATAATTTACAGTCAATATACGTTTCATTTTGAGTGTGTTTAAGTCTACCATTGTACTATGTGTTGTCCCTTTGTTTCATTTATTTCTTGTTACTGTTTTCCTATTTTCTTGACTTCCATTGGATTAATCGAGTAATTATTATTATTCTGTTGTATCCCCTCTATTGGTTTATTAGCAACACATTTGTTTAATTTTTGTGTTTTGTGATATATAAAATATGCATGTATAACTCATCACAGTCAATCCTCAAATAATATTGTAGCACTTTATTTGTATTGTGATTTTTTTATAGTATACTTTCATTTCTCCCTACTGAGTTTTGTCCTAGTTCTGTCATGTATTCTACTTATAAACTTATAAAATAAATATTGTTGAATTGAAAAGGTATAAGGGGAGTTTGAGACTCACTCATTTTGGTACTAAATGTGATAACTTTACTTCCTCTCAGTAATGCTGTAGTGCCCTGTGCTTGTCCCTAGCTTAACCCTCTTTGCTTGTTGTAATTATTCACTTATTTCTTCATCTCATCTTCTAAACATCAAGCTTTTATCAGAAAGAAGTCAGTAGCTCTATACTTTCTGAAAATCAAAAAAATTACATAAACTGATTGCAACCTTCCAAGCTCCACCTAAAATATTTCTTATTTAGGAGATCCTAGGGTAAAGCCCCAAAATATGCATCTTCACATGCACCTCAGGAGGCCCAGATGTATATGGGTCCATAAGTCACCACTGGCACAGACTAAGCCATCATTGTGTCACCTTCCCCACCAAAACACTCACCAGAGTGCTTGGAGCATTATAGGTACTCAATGCATATTGATTAAATCAACTAATGCCCTGACAAAAGTCTATATTGATTAACATATTTGAAGAGATAAATCGAGCAGGTAGAGGAATGTAGAAAAGGTTAAACTGTGTGCCCTCTTATGATGCTAGTATAACTTATTCATAAATCAAGATAGTTACAGAAAAAATAGCATCATAATTCAACTAGCGACTTTAAGAAGGAAGAAAAAAATTGTCAAGAATGTCATTTATTTTATCCCTTAAAAGAGTTCTTCTATGTTTAGCATCTGTAAAGCTAATTACTAAAGAAGTCACAATCATCACTTTATTCAGCAAATATAACCTTGCTCCAAAATGAATGATCAGTGCAAAAAATGATAGTATTTAAAGCTATTCATCTTTTACACAGATCAAGTAAACCACATAATTTTTCTACTCTTTTTTTTTCTTTTTTAAAGGTAAAATGTTACATTTTTAATGCCTAGAGTCCAAGGAAGAACCTCCCTCCAAAGCCTCAATCCCCTGAGGCACCCCTAATGTATAAGACCCAGGGATTTTGCTGGAGTATGTGTCGTCAAGGGCACAGAGCTGCTAAGATTGGCTGTACAGTTACTTTTGGCTCAGAGACCAGGCTGAGCTGTCTTTCATCTTTAAAAGCAAATGGCCCCTGGACTTTCCCCTGTAAGATCTGGAAGAAATGTGCTACGTGATATATATTTTTTAATGTTCGCCTATTTCTCTCTCCTTTTTAGACTTTGATGGGATATGAGAGAAACTGCCTGTGGATGTAAGTGTCTCCTTTGTACTAGAGTTGTAAGATCACTCTTTCTTATGAGTAATATCTGTCAATTTTCTCTAAAAATACTTTCAATACCAAAGAAAGATTCAGAAGCAGAAGAACTCATGGAAACCATGCACTGGTGAAATGTGGGCCATAGAATCAGAATCTAGAGTGAGAGACAGGACAGAGACCATATGGAGAGGGCAAAGATGTAGCTGAACAAACCCTGACCATGTGAGCATGGGAGATATAGTAAATGAAGAGAATAGCTAAGAGTGTAAATAGCAAAATATTTCTAAAATAGACTTATACTAGGAAATAGGGAGAAACTGCCTAATATGTATCTTAGCATAAGGAAAAATATATGATGGATTAAGGTGGAAGAATAAGAGATAGGAGTGGATGGAAGAGTGGAACAGAAAGCCTTGTGGGGATCATACAGAGTAAAGAAGACATCGATCTATTACCTAAGTAGCTGATGTATAAGCGCACAGTGCAAAGAAAATATCAAAACTAGAACCCAGGTAATTCAAAAGACAAAACCCTAGATGGAAGACTTAAGGTATTTGGGATACAGTTCTTGCTTCATAACTTATGCAAGCTACATCTTGATATTTTACTTCTCTGGGCCTCTGTTTCTTCATTTGTAACATGAGGGGGCTTGACTAGATATTTAACAGCCTGCCTGTATTGGCCACTTATGCATCAGGAACTTCATTGTGGGCATTTGGTGCTCACACAAACTTTTTGGCTTATGCTATTATTATTGCCATTCTAGAGATTAAATCATGAGACCCAAAGTGATTTCCCCAACATTGTACATTGGCAGAGTCATGGTCTCAACCTGGGCAGTCTGACTCCAGAGCCTGTGTCCATCCAGCCTTACTATGCTGCCATTCTAACCAACGATCTCAGAGCAAACTGACAGAGAAGTGAATTCAAACAGGAATCAGTCTTTGAGAGCTACATAGGGGAGCCTCCCAGGATGAATAATGAACTAAGGTTTTGTAGGAAAGATAAATATTAATTCTGAGGGATAACAAAAATAGGAAAGAAAATGTAATGTTATGTGTAGAAGCAGAGAGAAAAAGTTATGTTTGATGGCTGCAGCCAACCAGCTTGTCTACAGCTGAGGGGTAGATGCATGACCTAATGCAGAGGACAAACACACCTAAGATGGTGATGAGGACAGAGAAAGTTCTAGAAACATTGCCATAAACTATATATTAAATAATTAGTTAGAAGGAAAATAAGACCCATAAAGATATATGATCATTTTATTTCAATACTAAAGGCTAGCTGTCATTCATAGAAATAATTTAACATTATTGTGAGTATCTGCAGAGGACAAATCAAGAACAATGGGTGACTATTTCAAAGAGGCATAGTTCTACTCAGAAGTAGCCAGATAAACTATTTAGCAAGGGAACAGCCATTTTGGAAGTCAGTGACTCCTTAAAATTTGTCCTTCACTATGGAGGTTGGACAGTACTTCCTACATTGCTATAAAGAGGTTCACAGAATTGTATGAAGATTGAGTTAGATTTCTGATCTTTTTTCTAAAGTAAAAATAATATGATTGTCTAAGTCTGATATGAAAGTTTTAACATTTATTTGATCTCCCAATCAAACCACAGATCTTCTCACAGATAATGATGAAAGTTCTTCTTAGAACATTATGGAGGCAATGGAGATTGAGGCATAGGCCAGAAGAGTAGAGATCTCAGCCCAAGCCTCATAATGCTCTGAGTTGAATTTGAGCTTTAATTAGGTTCTTAATCTCAGATTCCCACTCACTGATCACAAGGGAAACCCCAATATGTGAGCCATCTCAAAGTCTTCACAATTGATCATGGGTAAATAGAATCTGAATACTTTTAAGTAGATTAAAATAGCTCTCCACATGTGAACAAGCATTATTTGAGTCATGTATATGAGAGGTGCATCCCTTTTTACTTGTTTTGTTTGTTTTTCTGAATCAGATTTTTATAAGGTGTTAGCAAAGATAGGTGATTTTTAAGGACTGTCATTGTCATGTGGGTAAGCAAATGGTTTAATCTTATTGAGCCTCATTTTCTTCTTCCATAAAATGAGAGTATTTAATGAAATGAGGTCTAAATCACATTTTTATTTTACAGTATGAACTTTCTAGGCACATAGGAATACAGAGAATGAAAATAACTTACAAAAATAAATAATTTCAGATATCTTTTAATTGGGGTATGTCACTATTCATGTCCTTTGTTCCTTCCCTACACTCTGATCTATGTGCTTAATGTTTGTTATGTATTTTTTCAGACCAGTATTATCAGCTTTTTACAGAAATGCAAACTGTGTATCTCTAGGGTCATTTCACTTTTGTCAAGTTCACTCTTTTCTCAATTTCAGGTTACCGAAGCCTAATTCCACTGACCAATGAAAAGACAGAACCAGAGCGAGCTCACCGAGTTCATCCTTACAGGTTTCTCAGAACTGGGGGATCTGCAGATCCTTCTCTTCTTTGTCTTCCTATTAGTCTACCTGACCACTCTGATGGCCAATGCCACTATCATGACGGTCATTCGCCTGGACAGGGCTTTGCACACTCCTATGTACTTCTTCCTCTTTGTCCTTTCATGCTCTGAAACCTGCTACACCTTGGTCATTGTACCCAAAATGCTTACCAACCTGCTATCCACAATTCCAACCATTTCTTTCTCTGGGTGTGCAGTCCAGCTCTATTTATTTGTGGGCTTGGCTTGTACCAACTGTTTTCTCATTGCTGTGATGGGCTATGATCGCTATGTTGCCATCTGCAACCCTCTTAACTACACACTCATTGTCAGCCGAGCCACCTGCATGCAGCTGGTTCTAGCCTCCAGCTTTTGTGGCTTCCTGATCTCTATGATTGTCAGTATCCTGGTGTTCAGTGTGCCCTTCTGTGCCTCCAATCGGATCAACCACTTTTTCTGTGACATTTCCCCTGTCATAAAACTGGGCTGCACAGACACCAGCCTGAAGGAGATGATCGTCTTTTTCCTCAGCATTCTGGTATTGCTGGTTCCCCTTGTGTTGATATTCATCTCCTACATCTTCATAGTTTCCGCCATCCTCAAGATCTCCTCGGTGGAAGGACAGTACAAAGCCTTCGCCACCTGTGCTTCCCACCTCACAGTGGTCATCATCCACTATGGCTGTGCTTCCTTTATCTACTTGAGGCCCACATCCCTATACTCTTCAGATAAGGACCGGCTCGTGGCAGTGACTTATACTGTGATTACCCCACTACTCAACCCCCTTGTCTATACACTGAGAAATAAGGAAGTAAAGACAACTCTGAGAAAGGTTCTGAGTAGATGCTCATATTCCAAAACTGTATGAGTGGGCTGATACAGCAGTAAATTACATTTATGAAAGTTTCCTACATAGCACTTCAGATCTATAAACAGATTTGTCCTTTTCTTAAGACTCCTTGACAAAAAATAAAAGAGAAAAGAAAAGAAATAAGGACTTTAGGTAACCTTGATTGTTTATATCAAAAATTTATTTTTCATGTTACCCTATATCCAGTGCAAAAGTTATACCAATTGGTCTCCAGAAAATGTTGTGAACATAGAAACTTTCAATAAAACAAGCTACGTTGTTTTTATGCATTGCAAGTGTTTGCTTTGTCAGATCAACACTACGAATGCTGCATTATCTTTCTCAGAAACCCCGGATTGTTGATACTCCTTTTACAGTGAAAGAAACAATATTTTCTAGAAATAATTTACTGCAGTTATTTCTTTATTAAACATATATATACACACACATACCTACATATGTGTGTATATATATGAATATGTGTGTGTGTGTGTGTGTGTGTGTGTATATATATATATATATAAAGTTTAACCCATTTCCCATTTAGAAAAAAAAAAAAAAGCATAGTTCTGTGCCAGTACAGAATTCTCGGGTCAAACAGGAAATGGGTTAAAGGAAATGGTTTAATCTTTTTGAGTCTCATTTTCTTCTTCCATAAAATGAGTATTCAATAAGATGAGCTCCCATCATAGTTTGATTTTACAGTACAAAGCTTCTATGCACATAGTAATACAAAGAATAGAAATAACTTGCAAAAATAAAGATAAATTACTTCAGATATCTTTAAATTGGGGTATGTCACTATTCATGTCTCCTGATTCTTTCCTATCCCCGATCTACATATATATATATATACACACACACATTATATATACACACACATACATTATATATATATATACACACACACACATATATATATATTACATGTATGCTTAAAAAGAAATACATGCAGTAAATTATTTCTAAATAATAAATATAAATTTTCTTCTGGAAAAATAAGGAGGGTGGTGATTAAAGTTCTAAGAGGTCGATGATCGAATAGAAAATACAGACTTCGGAGTCACAAAGACCTGGGTTTTAATCATTATTTGGATCATTTTCCAGCTAAGTGCCTTGTGCTAGGTTTAACTTCTTTTGTTGTTAGTTATTTATTATGTAACATGGGATCTTTAATACCTTCTCAGTGGTAGTATTGCAAAATCTAGTTCAATTAATAGATGTAAAACAATTCCATGCTTGCCTGAGAGACGGTATTAAAAAATTACTTCTATTTTTACTTCCCTTTCATTTTCCTTTCTTTATTCTATAATCTAGGGTTAGACTCTATGTCAGATAAAGTGTAAAGGTAAGTTGACCATTCAAGAGCCCTGCACTGGTTATGCATCTGCTACCATATGCAAGGCATTGAAGGCATTGAAGCAAGTACTGTAGCGAGTACAATGAAAAGTACAGCACAGTCCCTTCTTTCCTCATGCCTCACTTAAAGAAATGGTCAAATTTTAGCCACCCAATATAGGTGCATCAGATACATTTGAATGAGTTTACTGTGGCTTTTGCTAAAGGTGTGCTTCAGTAAAACAATGGAATTATATGATATTAATATCAAAAATTTTCATTTCTCAGCCTTTCACTTGAGCAACATGCAGTTTAGTAACTCTTGCTTGGGAAATAGATTATGCGGATTTAGAAGGAGGTTTCTTCACATACTTTAAGTATGAAACAATAACTTAAACTCTATACATTGAAAATGATCAAAATAGGGTTGATATAAGAATTAAATGGGGGGAAATTCCTTATTTAGCACGCAGTTTGAAACATATGTATTTGATATATTTTAATAATTATTATTTGTATGCTATATGTAATGTTCAGAGATAAAGAAAGATATTAGAATGCAGAATATAAGGAGAAGGAATAGTAAAAAAAAACAAGCTAGGATCGAAAGAAGGGTGAAAAAGAAAACAAATAAATAAAAGAGTGATAGAAGCCTTGGTTGAATTTACTAAATGCCAACCTGATTTTTTTTACTACCTGGGAAAATGCTACTTGTAGCATTTTTTACATGCTACACCCAACAGTTTGGCAATGAGTGTCCAAAGGACAAAACTCAGTTGCTAATGTATTCATAGTTTAGCAGAATATGATGATTAAAACCTCCTTAGGACATGTCTTTGATGAAGATACCTAAATGAGAACATGATCATTTATTTTAGATTTTTTTGATTCCAAGATTTGAGCTTTGTTTGTTGAGATAAAGTTGACACCACGCATTGCTGAGAGTAGTTTGAGGTTTCTGTGATTGCTTCTACTATAGGAAAGATTAAGCTGAAGAGAGTGAGAGGCAACTTTCAGCTTCATTCCCTGTGATCTCAGAATTCCCAGAATACCACTTTTCCTCAACTCCACCTACTCAACACACATCCAAATACACATCTGTAAAATGTACTTCCCTCCGATTTGCATATGATATGTACACCTCTTTTGTTTGCTACAGATGTGAGAGTGTTCATTAATTTGTCTTAAACCCTGAATCCTTAGATGACTTGTCATTTTTTTCAGAGAATAACACAACTGGTACTGAATTCGCATTTGAAGATGACCATGATAGTGATGGTGATATTAGTGAAGAGCTACACCTGGCATACACTAGGCTTTCAAAATCATTTTTAAATTAATAAATGAAAATAAATGTTGGGTAATCCAAGTTTCTCTAATTTATCTGTAAATAAAAATTATCACAAAGCTGAATGGACTCTTTTCTGCATCTTTAATGGTTCTTTTAATATTGGTTTAATTAAATAGTGATTGAAGACTTATTCTGAAGCAGGTAGGGTGTCCTGCAGGAGTAGGAAATACTCCGGAGACTCAAACAGGAAAGGTTGCTTGAGCCCAGAAGTTCAAGATCAGACTGGGCAACACAGTACGATCCATCTCTAAAAAAGAAAGACAGAAAATACTTATTCTACTTTCTAATATAGTCTATGTTCTTCTTCATTTATTTATCTAACAATTACCTATTTGGCATGTATCACTCACTAGGCACAGTGAGAGTAAATAAGACAGAGAGAGGAAAAATGTTGCAGACAAATAAAGAGACAATTACAGTGCAGTGTAATAAATAAATAACTGGGATACAGAGGCTGAATATAGTATCAGGACATAACAGAATTTTGGAGAATCAAGAAAGACTTCTCAGAATAAGTGACACTTAAATTTATGCTAGAGAAACAAGTAAAAACTAAGAAGTTAAAGAGTGTTTCAGGCACTTTGCATTGTGTACACAGATGCAAAGAAAGAGCTCATGGCCTAGATGAGTAAATCTAAGTGTCTCATGTGCCTGAAAATAGACTTCTGGAGTGACAGAAGTTTATAAAGTTAAGGCAGAAAATGTAAAACTAATGGGAAGGGCTTTTGTAGTTTAAGTTAAAGAGGTCAGATTGGGCCAGGTGCCATGGCTCACGCCTGAAATCTCAGCATGTTGGGAGGCCGAGGTGGGTGGATCACTTGAGCCCAGGAGTTTGAGACCAGGCTGGGCAACATGGTGAAACCCCGTCTGTAGGAAGAATGGGGTGGCACATGCATGTAATCCCAGCTACTTGGGGGCAATGAGGAGGGAGGATCACGTGGTTCCAGGAGGTCGAGGCGGCAGTGAGCCGAGAAGGCACCACTGCATTCCAGCCTGGGTGATAGAGTGAGATACCGTCTCAGAAACAAAACAAAACAGAAAAACAGGTCAGATTGAATTCATTGATGTGGAAAAAAACAGATTTTATCCAACTGTGGCTTGGCTTAACATATTTCACATGTTAAAGTTACCATATATATAACACAAAATGAAAAATACATTGATAGACTTTTTGATGATTGCTAGATACATGAATAGATAGATGGATAATAGGCCATACAGATTATAGGTACAGATTATAAATTCCATATATAAATATACAGAATATTATTGTATCAATAGATGCAGAAAACAATCTCTAATTTAAACATGTAAATATAATTGAGAAAACATAAAACTGAAAATAGTAGAAACTGTCTTAATTTGAGACTATCTTTGACAATCTATAATGAATAAACTTAATGATGAAATAGAGGAAATTTTTCCATTAATATCAGCAATGAGACAATAGTACCCATTATCTCTGCTTCTATTCAATATTTTATTTTATTTTTTTTTTTAAATTTATTTATTATTATTAAACTTCAAGTTGTAGGGTACATGTGCACAACGTGCAGGTTTGCTACATATGTATACTTGTGCCATGTTGGTGTGCTGCACCCATCAACTCGTCATTTACATCAGGTATAACTCCCAATGCAATCCCTCCCCCCTCCCCCCTCCCCATGATAGGCCCCGGTGTGTGATGTTCCCCTTCCCGAGTCCAAGTGATCTCATTGTTCAGTTCCCACCTACGAGTGAGAACATGCGGTGTTTGGTTTTCTGTTCTTGTGATAGTTTGCTAAGAATGATGGTTTCCAGCTGCATCCATGTCCCTACAAAGGACACAAACTCATCCTTTTTTATGGCTGCATAGTATTCCATGGTGTATATGTGCCACATTTTCTTAATCCAATCTGTCACTGATGGACATTTGGGTTGATTCCAAGTCTTTGCTATTGTGAATAGTGCTGCAATAAACATACGTGTGCATGTGTCCTTATAGCAGCATAATTTATAATCCTTTGGGTATATACCCAGTAATGGGATGGCTGGGTCATATGGTACATCTAGTTCTAGATCCTTGAGGAATCGCCATACTGTTTTCCATAATGGTTGAACTAGTTTACAATCCCACCAACAGTGTAAAAGTGTTCCTATTTCTCCACATCCTCTATATTTTATTAGAGTTATTTCTTAATATAAGGAAAACACACAAAAGAGTAGTAGTTTGTTTGCAACATAGAAATTACCTAACAATATTCTGATTGTTTTCTTTTTCTTTCTTTTTGTTTTTGTTTTTGTTTTTGTTTTGTTTGGAGACAGAGTTTCACTCTTCATGCCCAGACTGGAATGCAATGGAGCAATCTCAGTTCACAGCAACTTCTTCCTCCTAGGTTCAAGCAATTCTCCTGCCTCAGCCTCCCAGGTAGCTGGGATTACAGGTGCCTGACACCACACCAAGCTAATTTTTGTATTTT